CGTTCACCAACCTTTGATGATGATGGCTCTTCGTCTAGGATATGTGTACAAATAAAACCGATACTGAATAGACAATAAATGAGTACTTAACCGTGCTAGACTTGTCGTCTATTTATTGTGCCCTAGTTTCGATTTTTGATTAAAAGCGTGTAATCAGTTATACATATGTGAGAAATGCTAAGGAGACTTTCTTAGAAGTGAGACTCTCCATGAATGTTAGCTCATATTTTAGTACAATGTTTTATAATATTAAAGTCGAGTCTGCTTAACATTTTTCTATAGGTGTCTATATTTTTTTAAAAAAAAAAAAAGTATGGAAAACGAAATTGCACCACAACCATCAGTCAATGATTTTGGTCTCCGTCAAGCCCATAGTAAAAGGAAAGGGATCCTCTTCGGATCTTTTCCTCCTAATCCATCAAATCAGGGGATCCGTGCTGTTTAAATTTGATTTAACGACTGAAATTATTATAATTTTTAAAATGAGCTCCTATTTGTAGTCATTAAATCAAATTTCAACGGCACAGATTCTCTACATATGTCACATCCCAGGCTCAACTTCACCGTAGCACGATATTGTCCGCTTTGGGCCCCGACCACGCCCTCACGGTTTTGTTTTTAGGAACTCATACGAGAACTTCCCAATGGGTCACCCATCATGGGATTGCTCTCGCACAAACTCGCTTAACTTCGGAGTTCCTACGGAATCCGAAGCCAGTGAACTCCCAAAAGGCCTCGTGCTAGGTAGGGATGACAATATACATATAAGGATCACTTCCCTAGGCGATGTGGGATCTTACAATCCACCCCCCTTAAGGGGCTCGACGACCCTGTCGGCACACCACGACTAGGGTTAGGCTTTGATACCAATTTGTCACATCCCGGCCCGGGGTCCACCACATCCCGGGCCTGCTCTACCACAGTACCATGATATTGTTTGTTTTGGGCCCCGACTACGCCCTCACGGTTTTATTTTTGGGAACTCACACGAAAACTTCCTAGTGGGTCACCTATCATGGGATTGCTCTCACGCAAACTCGCTTAACTTCGAAGTTCCTACAGAACCCGAAGCCAGTGAGCTCCCAAAAGGCCTCGTGCTAGGTAGGGATGTGAATATACATATAAGGATCACTCCCCTGGGCGATGTGGGTTCGGGCCCCACCACATCCCGGGCTTGACTCCACCGTAGCACGATATTATTTGCTTTGGGCCTCGACCACGCCCTCATGGTTTTTTTTTTTGGGAACTCACATGAGAACTTCCCAGTGGGTCACACATCATGGGATTGCTCTCGGGCGCTACTCGCTTAACTTCCGAGTTCCGATGGAACCCGAAGCCAGTGAGCTCTCCAAATGCCTCGTGCTAGGTAGGGATGGGAATATACATATAAGGGTCACTCCCCTAGGCGATGTAGGATCTTACAATCCACCCCCCTTAAGGGGCCCAACGCCCTTGTCAGCACACTTCCGTCCAGGGATTGGCTCTGATACCAAATCGTCACATCCCGGTCCGGGCCCCCATCACATCCCGTGCTCGATTTCACCATAGCACGATATTGTCTGCTTTGGGCCCCGACCATGCCCTCACGGTTTTGTTTTTCGGAACTCACACGATATTGTCCGCTTTGGGTCCCGATTACGCCCTCACAGTTTTGTTTTTGGGAACTCACATGAGAACTTCCCAGTGGGTCACCCATCTTGGGATTGCTCTCGCACGAACTCGCTTAACTTCGAAGTTTCGATGGAACCCGAAGTCAGTGAGCTCCCAAAAGGTCTCGTGCTAGGTAGGGATGAGAAGATACATATAAGGATCACTTCTCTGGACGATGTGGGATCTTATAATCCACCTCCTTTAAGGGGCTCGACGACCTCGTTGGCACACCACGGCCAGAGTTAGGCTCTGATAACATACGTTTATATTTTTCGAAAATAAAAAAAGTATGGAAAACGAAATTGCACCGCAGCTATCAGTTAATGATTTTGGTCTCCTTCAAGCCCATGGTAAAATGATTCACACCTACCAAAAGTTTTTTTAAAATTGGCCTCAAGTGGGAATTCATATTGGTTTCCAAATTGAGTTTTTGGTAAAACACAAAAAAAAAAAAAATAGTTGCTTTAGTGATTTTTTTTTTCATTGATAAGTGAGAAGTTTTTTGTTCTATTCTCACCAAAAGCGAATTTGACCTATATTATTGTTAGCCAATTGTGAGATTAAGTTTACACCCTCTTCCTTATTGTAAATAATATCATTTTATTCAAAAAAACAAAAAACAAAAAACAAAAAACAAAAAGCAAAAACAAAAACAAAAAGTAGTTGTTGGGGGACAGCTCAATGTGGATAACATCAACTGTTCCCACAAACCATTGCATATGTTTTTGCTGCTCCACAAATTTAATTGATCAAAGAGCTTTCTGCAAATTCCATTTTCTAGAGAGAGAGAGAGAGAGAGATGGATAAAGCAATGAACAGACAGAGGGTTCTGCTGCAGCATTTGAGACCCAATTCTTCTGTTTCTTCTTTCAATTATGAATTTGCTCCTCTTTCTGTAAGTTTATATCCACTTTCTTTTCTGTTGACTTCTTCATTTTTGTAAATATTTGTTTTATATTATTTTGTTTTTTTTTAGATTTTAATTTATTTTCTTCTGAATTGTTTTGTTAGGCTTCAATATGTGCAGCTGGAGATAGTGCTGCCTACCATAGAACAACTGCTTTTGGAGACGATGTAGTGATTGTGGCGTGAGTGATTTAAACTAACCGATAAGTTACTTAATTTTTACTACTTTTTGTGTCCTTGTATAAAATTTATAGCAAAGTTTGTAACTTTATAGCTTTTCTGTATTAAATCTTGTTGCGAAAATCATGTTAAATAGAGCATATCGGACTGCCATTTGCAAGGCAAAGCGAGGCGGTTTTAAGGACACTCTACCTGATGATTTACTGGCACCTGTTTTAAAGGTTTGTTACAGTTCCTGAATTCCCAACTCAATTCCGGAGGAATGAATGTTTTAATTTAATTATGTTTGTATCTGCCCTATGAAGCCGAGTTTGAATCTTTGTCGTGCAGTTTATATTAGTTTAAAGTAAAATATCGAGTTTAGAAAAAAAATAAAAAGGGACAAGATATTGACATATGGTGTACTTTTTATGCAGGAAATAATAGAGAGAACAAATTTGAACCCAAGTGAGGTGGGGGATATAGTTGTTGGTACAGTTAGGGCACCTGGCTCACTTAGAGCCACTGAGTGCAGGATGGCAGCGTTTTACGCTGGCTTCCCCGGTAAGTTTTCAACCATATTTGAAGTTGGAGGCCTCTTTTTTGGTATTAATTTTAGCTTAGTGTTATGGTTTGTCGGGTAAGTTTCACGGAAGCTTCCTAATTCAACCTACGTACGTTGTCAATAAGATTCTTAAACGTTTGATTATATACTGTTGATGTTTCCAAAGCCAACTTGCAAAATTATCCTCTTTTCACGTTTTTCAAACTTCACCTAATGTCTTGCCTTAGCTTCATGCACATATATTTATATTTAAGATGGGCAACTACTTATAACTCTGAACGAGAACAACAATAACGTTTTGTGTTTACAACTTAATCTCCTTGGTTACCTTGGTTTACCATTTTACCTTTGTTAAAAATTATTTTTCTAGTAGGATTTTAAGAATCAAAGTACAGGTTTTTTTTTTCCTTTTTTTTTTTTTTAGTAAAATACAAGTTAGTTAGACATGACCAATCTGTATCAATATGTCTTGGCAAAGTCTCTCTAAAAAACTAAGCATGTCTATGGTGAATAAGAACACAAGGAATCATGTGATTGAGTATGAGAAAAAAACGTACATGTGCATGCTACAAGTTAGACCGTAACAATTTCAATCACTAATTCCCTTTGTTCTTATTTAGATTTGAATATATGCTAATGAACATTTCCAAAACTAAAATAACGCGCTAACCCTCAAAAGGCCGTGGGGTCGCATTCCAGTCTCAATGTGTTCGCTTTTCATTATTTATACGCCACACAGAGAAAGCGAGGCGAGCCACAAACACACACACAGACACACACACACGCACACACGAGAGAGAGAGAGAGAGAGAGAGAGAGAGAGAGAGAGAGAGAGAGATGGCAGCGAGGGAAAATATTGGAGGAGCTGCAGAAAAGGGGCTGAAGCAGCAGAAGAACCCAGATGTGAATGACGGGAAAGAAGAAGAGAAAGCTATGAAGATGAAGCCGAACTCAACAGAAGAGGTGATGATGAAGATCATGGTTCCGAGGGAGACAAACTGCTCATGCTTCAAGCCAAAAGCTGGAAGTGTGTTTCCCGCCAAGAGAAAATCCGTGAAACGCATGATGTTTGATCGTTTTGTACTCAAGCACTTTGGCTCCTCTGCCGTGAGCGTGTGGCCTCCCAATCCCCACAAACCCTAATAAAATGTAGAGCTATCTTCTCTCTCACTTCTCATCACAACACATGAAACACCACAAAATTACACACCAAGACAGAAGATAGAATTCACCTCACGCCCATTACCCCCAACAAACTCTTTGCAGAAGCACTTGATTTACAGAAGCACTTGATTTACGATGTGTACTTGGCTTTTTAATGTTATATGTTGATCTCTGGTTAATTTAATTCAACGCATAAACACTTAATTTATTATGTGTTTTTTTTTGGTCAAGTATTTATTATGTGTTTTTGTTCCACGCATATGGATGTTTTGTTTTTTGGTCAATTATTCATTACGTGGTTTTGTTCCATACATATGGATGTTCGTAGTTCCCATCACTCACATCAGACACTCACAAACAAATTTTATCCTTTTTTATCCAGTAACCTATTTTTCTTTATTGGAAAGGTCAACTTAATGCTGCTAACTGTCCAAACATGATTGAACGAAATTAAAAAATATATTAAATGGGAAAGTTTGAGGGTGGTCTGTGAGAATGAAAGGATGAGAGAAACTCATTTTCTCGTCTTCTTCCTCCTTTCGTCTTCGTAAGAACAGAAGCTGCAACCTTAGAAATTCCAGAACACACTGCACTAATCCTTTCTCAAGTTTGAAAACAGAAAAAAATTGAAATTCCAGACTGCCTAGGCCAACCAGTCGGCCGCCTAGGACGCCCAAGGTCCGCCCAAGCCGCCTCGGCGCCCGCCTAATTCCTTCCCCGATGTTTCTCCCGGTTAAGAGTAAATCCTGGCGGCTGGCCACCGCACAGCGATGAAGAGGTTGTGGTTGAAGAAAGCGATGGTGTTGGCAGTGGCGGTGGTTGTGGTGGCAAATCGTACGGAGGTTCTGTCTCCTGCTCGATTTGCCTTGAAATCGTGGCCGATAATGGGGATAGATCTTGGGCCAAGCTGCAACGCGGGCATGAATTTCATCTAGGTGAGTCAAAATTGAATCTAATTTGGGTTGGAAGTTTCAATTTTTTCTCGACTGCAATTTTCAAAGGTCCGGGTTCAAATTTGGTTTCTGATTTCGCAATTCTGTTGGATTTTGATTTTCTGGTGATGGGTTGTTTGATTGGTCAAGACAATTGTAAGAAAGATGAGAAATTGAAGAAATATAAATTACGAAATTTAAACTGAATTATGCTTCATTTAATTAAGGGAGCTTTAATGAAAAAGGATTGAATTAACTTTTATTTAATAAAAAACCACTCTAAACTATTATTTAATGAAAATGGCTTAAATTTTAATCATAAGGACACAAAACTTTTATGCTTCATTTAATGAAAAGGGCTTAAATTACGAAATTTAAACTGAATTATGCTTCATTTAATTAAAGCTTTGGTTTTGTTGGGTTGTCATTGTTCTAGACTTACATATACATATATATATATATATATATATATATATATATATATATATATATATATATATAGACACACACACACACACATGGTTCTTTCATAATCTGTTGGTTATGCAAGATATGATAATTAGATCTTTCATGTAGTTGGATTTCTACATTTCGCTTTGTTGTAGCTGTTTGATTCAATGGATAGAACGATAATTTGTACTGGAAGATGCGAAATTTGATAGAACCCATCAATGAAAATGAAGAATAGCTGTGCACGAGGGTTTCTTGAATCATTTTATTTCCTCAAAACCGGAGGACGGCATTGAAAGTGAATACTTTTGGAGATTTGGAATCTCTGTGAGTCATCAATGTCGAAAGTGTGGTGTTGACAACCCGAAGTTGTACAGCATTGAGACCCTATAAGGTCTAAATTTAGTCAAGGTTCAGTGTATCATTGTTCAGATTACTTTGATAAAATTTGTCGTCGGTATATTATTCCGAATATAGTATTATTTGATTTTTAAATCATCTCATATCAGTAAATGGAGTTGCATGTTTACTGAGGCATAGTTATATACTTCTTATAAGGACATAAGTTTAGTTATGCCTTTTCACGAAGGATGATACCGAGCTTTCATGTTCCGTTATATTTTTGTTTTCATTCTTTCAGATTGCATTGGTTCAGCCTTCAATATAAAGGGGGCAATGCAATGCCCTAATTGTCGGAAAATCAAGAAAGGTCAATGGCTTTATTCTAATGGATGCTGTTCATTTCCGGAATTGAACATGGAAGACTGGACACATGATGAGGATCTCTATGATTTAAGTTATTCTGAAATGGTATATAGTTTAGTACTTGTTGAATTTTAGCTTCTATTTTTCAGTTCCTTTTTGTGAATATTCAATTTTTGTAGTCAAAACTCTGGTTATGGTCATTTGTTCCTGTTTAGATTATGGCAGCCGCGTTGTCGGAAGGCTAAAGCTTTTTTGGGTTCAGAGGAGAGGAGACCTTTGAGACCAAGGAGATTCATATCAGATGTGTAAACCGAAAATAAGTTGGGAGATTGGGAGATGAGGCGAGGAGGGAGATGGGGAGAGCAGGAGGCAGGCAGAGAAAAGGTGGGTCGAGAGTCCGAAACGGTGTGGAAACATCCAGAGAAAAGGTGGGTTGAAAGACTGAAACGGTGTGGAAAGGAAAAATCCAGAAATGAAGTAAAAGCCCAAAGACTAAAGCAGGGCTAAAGATGGAATCACACTGTAGAATGAACACTGTTTTAGGCAATTTTCTCTTGTAGTATATACTAGAAAGTTATGTCTGCGCGTTGCTGCGGGATTAAAACTTATAAGAAATATTATGTTTGAAAGATGTAAGGACTATGAGATAAAAGATTAATACTATTTACATTGAAAAAGAAAGGAATATTTTTACATATGGAAGATTTTATATATATGCAGCAGACGCACCAAAAGTTGCAGAAGTTGTATTGTTTTATCTAGAATGACAAAATATGAGAAAAGTTGTTTACTGCAAGGCTAAAAGGTTTTCTGCAGTACTATTGATTGTTGAGGAAGCAGCCTAGGCGAGGAAGGATAGTATAAGGCTCCAAGTGACACTAGAAATCGTAAAAAATAAAAAATAAAAAATTATATTGCCCCCCTTAATAAAATCATAATCGAAAGATTTTCGGTTTTGTCGACGTGTCTATAACTTTATCATGAATCTAATTTGGATGAATACATGTAATATACAAATAGAAAACATTGAATCATCCAGTATCACAACACACACACAATGCAGAAACAAAAAAAAAGCTATTCAATTTAGTTTCATTTATATCAAAGGAAGTCCATTCATACAACTAAAAAGACACAAATGAAGACATTGAACAACCAACATCTTTGAAAGACCACTGGTTCTAAGCTTTTAATGGTCGATTAGTTAAACATGAACCAAATTAATCTGAAACAAAAACAACTCCCATTAGCTAAATTAAAACAAAACAGAAAACCAATACAAATTGATAGAGAGAAACACGCATACTAATCCAACACACCCAACTACAATATATAATTAAATGCCGTTTAGTAGAATCACGCTTACTATAAAAAAATAATAAAAATGATACCTTTTACTGTGTTTAATAGGTCCAAAGTAAAGGCTCCATCATTTTGGTCAGCAATATTTAGATATAAGCTTCCTATTCAATATTTAGTATAATTTTAATTATTTTCTTTTATTTTGCTGCTTCTTCCCCATGACTTTCAGGAGGAGATCTCATCTTCTATAAGACCAAACCCAATCCTGGATTAAATGCTATTTTTTAGGTTTTATTCCTCCTAGATCCAACCAAACTCATGCTAGATGTGTGAGTTAAAAGCTAAAAGCCAAACAAAAGCCAAATATCTCCCAGGATTTAGCCTAGAAAATGGTGTGGGCACCACTAGCGGGACCCATCAACATGGGCATGTCTCCCAAGATTTATTGAATTTAATAGCTGAGATCGAATATAATCAAATTTAAAGGCAAAAAAGATCTAACGGCCCAAATTTAAATTTAACGGCTAAAATAATTAAAAAAATTTATTTAACTCAAAATTCATCCTAGTTTAGTGATTTTTCAATATTTATCGGAATTTAAATATTTTTAGGTTAAAATGTTCATAAAATTAAATTATGACAGTTTACATAATTTTAAAAAAAAATTACTTTTAAAGAAAAAATTAGCCTAAATTTATTCTTTAATAATCTCAGACGAAAAAATTTAGATCAGAAGAGTTGAAGGAGAAAAACTGTTTCTAGGCTAAAACCTAAATTTTCTAGGCTATAAATTTTAAGTTTTAACCTAGGGGTTGAAGATGGTCTAAGGAGGCAAGTGTGTGTGTGCATACTGCATGCACATGTATATATGAATACATAGCTATACATAAATGTATATAGAGAGACAGACATGAAGAAAGATGAACAGAGAACATAATTGGCAAATTTTATTTGACATCAGATGTTTTTACCATATCCTGTTCTACCCATAACGTTTTATGAAGAATTCCATAGACTAAGAGCAACTCCACCCATGGAGCCTTCCCCCTGGCAATCCACTATTGAATCCACCATATTGAACAGTAACTGCCTTTAATAAATAGTAACTACCATTAATGAACAGTAATTGCCATTTGCATCTCCACCCTTGGAGTCCTCCCCCCTTGCAATAGGCAATAAAATATTAGTTTTTTTTGTTTGTTTAAATAATACAAAATAAAATTATTTGTAATTTCGGATAAGATTTTTTAAATCGTTCTCGTTGCGCCACGTGTCATTTTATAAAAAAAAAAAACAATTATTTAGCGATGGAGTTCGATAAGATTTTTATTCAATATCATCGTGCCACGTGTCGTTATCTTTTGAGAATCTTTGACGATATTTTGATCATATTTTAACTCGTTCAAAATTGTGCCACGTGTCATTATCCGAAAAGATAATTATTAGAGATCGATTTCGATAAGATTTTTATCCAATACGATCGTGTCACGTGTCATTATCTTTTCAGAATCTTTGAGGATAGATTTCGATTAGATTTTTAACGAATGACATCATGCCACGTGGCCTCATCTACAATCTGATCCTTTCTTAATCGTCCATATAATCCACCATCCATCCTCACAAATCTCACACCAATTTTCTCAACATCTCTATCTCATTATTCATAGTTTCTGCTTCTTCTTCACCATCCATCCTTACAATGTCTTCTTCTTCATCAAGGATGATGTGGGAAATCGATCAGCAAGAGGAAGAATTGTTTAACCAATCTGAAGGAATGTTCAACCTTCAGATAGCCGAAAATGAGATGGAAGAGGATGAGGAGCGTAGAAGGAGAGATGACGAAACAAGAATGGCCAGAGCCTCACATTCCCGTCGAGTCATCCAGACTGTTGCTCAGATATGCAGGCCCAGCCGTTCAAGAAACCTTGATAGAAGCAAGCAACGACGGGGTGAAGAGCTATTGGACGATTACTTTGTCCATAACAGTGCATTTTCTGATACGTACTTCAGACGACGTTTTAGAATGGAACGACATTTGTTCAACAAAATCATGACTGATGTTTGCAACCGTGATTCTTACTTTGTGCAAAAGAAGGATGCTTGTGGTGTTATGGGTCTTTTGCTTGAGCAAAAAATCACTGCTGCGTTGCGGATGCTTGCACATGGAGCATCTACAGACCAAGTGGATGAGATAACGAGGATGGGGAAATCAACCATTCTTGAGGCCCTGATGAGGTTTTGCGGAGCAGTCGAATCTTTGTACACCGCTGAGTACCTTCGACAACCTACTCACATGGACTTGCAAAGGCTTCTGAAGAAGGGCGAGATGCGAGGTTTTCCTAGGATGATAGGAAGCATCGATTGTATGCACTGGACGTGGAAAAACTGTCCAAGTGCATGGCAAGGCGCATATAGGGACAGAAAAGGAGCAAAATCTATCATTTTGGAGGCAGTGGCATCTTTTGATACATGGATATGGCACGCCTTTTTCGGGGTTCCGGGGGCTCAAAATGATCTCAACGTCCTTACCCAATCCCCTGTGTTCAACGACGTCCTGCAAGGAAAGGCACCAAAAGTCACGTACGTCGTCAACAGACGTAGGTACGACGGGCCATACTACCTAGCTGTGGCATTTACCCACGGTCGGAAACATTTGTCAAAACAGTGCCACGTCTGCGAAGTGCAAAGGAAAAACACTTTGCAAGCTGTCAAGAGGGGTGCAGGAAGGATGTGGAGCGTTGTTTTGGTATCCTTCAAGCTTGTTGGGCGATCGTCAGGGGTGCTGCTAGAATGTTCGATGTAGAGTCATTTCGATCCATCATGATGACGTGCGTCATTCTTCACAACATGATTGTGGAAGATGAGTTCAATTATGATGCAGTTGATGAATATGAGCCAGAGCCAGACACGATGAACAATTCAAGAACACGGATATATTATTCCGAAGTTGTACAGCATTGAGACCCTATAAGGTTTAAATTTAGTCAAGGTTCAGTGTATCATTGTTCAGATTACTTTGATAAAATTTGTCGTCGGTATATTATTCCGAATATAGTATTATTTGATTTTTAAATCATCTCATATCAGTAAATGGAGTTGCATGTTTACTGAGGCATAGTTATATACTTCTTATAAGGACATAAGTTTAGTTATGCCTTTTCACTAAGGATGATACCGAGCTTTCATGTTCCGTTATATTTTTGTTTTCATTCTTTCAGATTGCATTGGTTCAGCCTTCAATATAAAGGGGGCAATGCAATGCCCTAATCAGTGGCGGATCCACAGTGGGGTCGTCGGGGTCGCACGACCCCTTGGAAACCATGGAAACAACCTTGAAGCTCCCATATGAGACCTCTTGGAGCTGGGGTCGTCGGGGTCGTCGGGGTCGGACTCGAACGCCAATTGTTCGACAAAAAGCCTGAACGAAGACTCGGCAGGAAGAGGAAGAAGAAGCAGCGCTCGCGCGCGCTTTTTTTTTTTTCAAAACAGACGGGCAAAACGGCGTCGTTTTGGCCCAGGAAAGTTTTTTAAATGACCTGGCCAAAACGGCGTCGTTTTGGGCCAGGCCGAACAAAAAAACAAAAAAAGAAATTCCCACCGTGTCCCTCCCCCCAGTCCCAGCCTTCCTACCCGACTCCTATACAATCAAAAGCCCCAATTTCTTTTGTTTTCTCATCCTCCAACCCTAACTCAATCCCCCCAAACCCTCAACTCCTCTCCTCCCTTGCTGCTGCTGCCCCCAAACCCTCAACTCCATCTCCTCCCTTGCTGCTCCCCTGCTGGCGGCTCCAACTCCATCTCCTCCCTTTGTTTATATTTTGAGTATTTATTTTGAATATTTTGTATATGTAGAATATATTTAATTAATTGAAATTCAATTCATATTTATTTGTGAGTTTTTTATTGTGAGTTTTTATTGATGGTTTGTTTATATTGTGAGTTTTTATTGGTTTGTTTTTATTGATGGTTTGTTTATATTGTGATTTTTTATTTTCATTATTTTGTATATGTAGAATGCAAGATGAGATATTTAATTTAATTGAAATCCAATTCATATTTATTTTGATTATGTTTATGGTTTATATTGTGAGTATTTATTTTGAATATTTTGTATATGTAGAATATATTTAATTTAATTGAAATTCAATTCATATTTATTTTGATTATATTGATGGTTTGTTTATATTTTGAGTTTTTATTTTCATTATTTTGTATATGTAGAATGCAAGATGAGATATTTAATTTAATTGAAATCCAATTCATATTTATTTTGATTATGTTTATGGTTTGTTTATATTGTGAGTATTTATTTTGAATATTTTGTATATGTAGCATTATTATGGAACGGTTTTTTAAGAGAAAATCATCATCGGGTTCGGGTAGTTCGAATAAT